AAATATTAAGTTGAACCATACGAAACTGGTGATATTCGACCTATGAGATTGTTTTACCTATGAGAATGGCAATTTCGTATAGTTTGATCTAATAGAACATGTTATATTACTGAGAATGAGTTGCTTTTAGAAGTGGAGCTTGATTGAGCAATATTGAGAGGGTTTAATCAAAAGGACAAAGAACAGAGTCTTGGAGCAGTTGAGATAAATGGGATTGTTGCTCTGCAGAGGGTTGGCCTTTGAAGCAGGGAGAAGGAAAGACACACTTTTCCAGGAAGGCAGGAGAAGATACACAGATTCAACCATGCTGGAGGGATCACGATGAGGCCAATACCCAGCAGGTAGTGTCCTATTTGAGGTAAATAATTATGTAATAAATGTACGGATTTAGCTGTAGATACACACTGATTTTGTTCATAGGACTGAGTGGGTACTGATCCTGTTCTACCTTGTGGTAGACTCTAAGTTTTTTCTCTCAAAGGTCTTTGATAGGTGATTTTTTGCTTGGTTTTTCTCTTTCACTAAAAGTGGAGTAAATCAAATATCATAATCTCCTTCCCCACTCCTGAGCAGTGCAATGCTGTGGCCTCCCTGTAGAACTGATTAGCAAATCAAAGAATAAAGGAGTTTTTTCACAAGTGATTTTCTTGCCCTACAGAAAATTGTCTTTTTCAATGTTACTATCAGTATTCTTTGACTTCTTAGCATAATTGAAGCATTATCTATGATTTCTGTTTCTTTAATGCAGACTACAAGTGCATCCTTTTAAGGTCATTCTACTCTTCTCTGTCACATGTACAGAATTTGCTTATGAGGTGTGTTCGTTTCAAGAATTTAACCTGTTTAGAGGGAGACTTCATTCCACTACATAATATAATTTTAGAAATGATGTTCTTTAGACCATTGTGTGCACATATCCCTAGGCCATAGTTTTCTCCATGTACTTAATTCAGTACAGAATTCCAGGTACTGATCATTAATAATATCTTTAAAGCTAAATGAGATTGAAAGTCATCTTTAATGGCTGTAGGATCATTTTTTCATGAACTATCTCCTCTAATGTTTATTTTGAATAATACTCTTATCCATGGATTATGGGACCAAGGCCATAATAAAAATATTCCCAGTAAGGGTTGTCTTCTTATTCAGTGTGTACTTGTTGAGCTATAGGCAGTTTTGCTGTGTATGTGGCTCTAAAATGATCTTTTCCTCAAAGTACAGAAAGATCTGGAGAAATGTGGGCACTCATGTATTAAGTTTGTAGTATTGTAATATTGTAAGTATAAGATAAAATGTGGTATCTTTTTTTTTTTTTTGAGACTGAGTCTTGCTCTTCCCTAGAGGTTGAGAGTAGAGTGATGCGTTTATGGTTCACTGCAACCTCTGCTTTCCAGGGTTTCAGGCATTCTATCCTGGGTCGAGGCTTCGCGGTAATTCTGGGACTACAGTTTAGACACCAACCACTAATTTTTTTTTATTTTTATATATTTTTATTATTTATGTGTTTTTGAGACGAAGGTTTCGCTCTTGTTGCCCAGGCTAGGGTGCAAGTGCGGCGCGTCTCGCTCACCACAACCTCGCTCCCAGTTCAGCAATTCTCCTGCCCTCAGCCTCCTAGGTAGGGGTTTGGATTACAGGTGCCACCACCCACGCCGAGCTATTTTGCATATTTTTAGTAGAGATCGGGGTTCTGCATGGTGGCAGGCTGGTTGAACTCCAACCTCAGAGATCTCCTGCTCAGCCTCAAAGGCTGGGCTTCACAAGGTGTGAGCCACTGTTACCTATCTGCTAATTTTTGTATTTTTTTAAGAGCGGGCGGGAGTTTCCATGTTGGCCAGTGGTCTGGAACTCCTGACCAGGTATCCACTGCCTTGGCTTGCAAAGTGGCTTTGGGGTTACATGGTGGTGAGCACCGCCCTGGGAAAAATGTGGGTATCCTTTTTTTTTTTTGAAACAAGAATTCTGCTCTGTCGCCAGGGCTGGGAGTCGCAGTGGCTGGTCTCAGCTCAATTGCAAGCTCGGCTTCCCAGGTTTCGCCACTTCTGCTTCAACCCGTCCCATGTAGGCTGGGGATTAGCAGGCGCCCGCCACCTGCTGGGCTAGGTTTTTTTGTATTTTTTAGTAGAGACGGGGTTTCACCATGTTAGCCAGGATGGTCTCCATCTCCTGACCTCATGATCCACCCGTCTCGGCCTCCGAAAGTGCTGGGATTACAGGCTTGAGCCACCGCGCCCGGCCCAAAATGTGGTATCTTTAAAAGCTCTGTGATGATGGCATTTTAGACTAAGGTGATGTTTTATTTTATGAAGATGTGTAGCTGTACTGCTGGCAAGATGAATCAACATGTTCTAATACTGCTTGTAATAAGAGTAACTTGATTTACCATTACCTACTGCGGTAAATTGGTATCTTCAGTATTGGAAATATTCAACAGAATGTATCAGAAGGGATTTCAAAAGCTGTAGTCTATGGTGTTATGATAAGTGAACAAAAGCATTTCCCCTATTCCAGACAGCCTTTGATAGCATATGTATTTAGGAAAATATATACAGATTGATCAACTGTGTACCTGACTCAAATATTTTTAGTTTCTTTGGGTTGAACTTTGGGTTATGCCAAGGGATCCCCTTTGGTCTTCTCATGGAGAATCACTTGTAACCAATGTTGATGTGCACTTACAAAGAAGGGTGTAAAGGTTTATAGGACGATACTGCTCGACAGCTTTGCGGATCTGGAATCTACACAGTTCAGCTAGCTTCTCTATTTGAGTCCTGAACTAGTGCACTCATCTCCCGTTTCCTTTGCTTTGCCATTTCCAGTTGTAAAGTGATGTGTGCTCCCTCTCTTGCCTTTCACTAGTGCAGTGGGGCTTGTCTTTCAGAATGAGATCTGTGCTAAAACTTTTTCTTGTCTCTGTGTATGCTGATAAACAGGCTTTAGAGTTCTGTCTTGTGGTGATATATCACCCCACCCCATCTTAGATATGACAATTGCCTTTAAAGGACTACAGTTTTGATGTGTAGGGGGCTCTTTCTGTTACGCGCTTCTAAGTAGAGAGGCCTGTGAGAACATCTTTCAGGTCTGAGGAGGTATATGGCTATCTTGTGCTCCTTTCTTCTCTAACATCAGGGCTGTAGATATTCACCCCTGGTGTTGTATTGCCCCCAACCCCTGCCACCCCCGGTGATTTGCTGCTAATTTTGGCTACTTTTTTTTTTTTTAATTCCAAAATCTCTTGCAGTCTCTTCGGACTTCTGCCAATTCTGGCATAGTTTGCTCAAATGATTGGTCTTTTCTTGGTAGATCTCAGTCTCAACTTCTCCCTTCCTCTTGTTGAACTGACCAATAATCTGTGAGTATAACCCTTATATCTTGTGTGTTATATGGTCTTTCATATTTTTTCCTAAAGCATATCATGCTATACCTACTGTTTTTAAATGGCCTTTTCGCCACTTTATCTTCTGAAAATACCTTTCCTTACATTTCTGTTCTAAAACAATTTATATTTCTAAATTTTCAGTGGCTGACATCCCTTCCTTGATAATGAATCTATCGTTTGACCAGTCCCCTACTTTTGGGCATTTGGATATTTTCTATCTCTTTTCTCTTTACCCTTCTTCCTTCTTTCCTTTCTGCTTTCCTGTTATTTCCTGGTAATGAGTATCCGGAGTTGTTTGTTCACCATGCTTATTGTTTTTTAAAACCCTAATGTTTTAAATGTTTTAATGTTTTAATGGCCGGGCGAGGTGGCGCACGCCTGTAATCCCAGCACTTTGGGAGGCCAAGACGGGCGGATCACGAGGTCAGATCGAGACCATCCTGGCTAACACGGTGAAACCCCGTCTCTACTCAAAAAATACAAAAATTAGCCGGGCGCGGTGGCGGGCGCCTGTAGTCCCAGCTACACGGGAGGCTGAGGCAGGAGAATGGCGTGAACCTGGGAGGCGGATCTTGCAGTGAGTGGAGATGGCGCCACTGCACTCCAGCCTCGGCGACAGAGTGAGACTCCATCTCAAAAAAATAAAAAAAAAATAAAAAAAATAAAACCCTAATGTGGGTTTTTTGAGGCTTTTGCTAGTTATAACATCACCTTGTATGTTCAAAGACAGAGGCTCGTATCTTATGCATGTCTTCCTAGCATATATGCCTGACACAGTGGCCATTCACTAAAGAATTATTGTTGAGTTTCAGAAATATGAGGGCCATTTGACAAATAAATGAGTACCTACTATGTACTTGGAACCCAGGATATAGGGGTGAACAAGGTAAAGATTGTCCTTGCTCTCATAAAGTGAGGTATTATTTTGTATAGCAAGGTTTATGTTGTAGAGATGATAACCCTCTTAATGTGAGGATCAATGAAAAAAATTTAAGACACACAGTATAGCAAAAGCAGACTGAATGACTTAGGGTGTGGTTACTTGGGAGATGTTCATGCTTATGGCTAACTGAGTTGACTAATTGATTTTTCCATACATGATATTTCTTATTTAGGATTATCCACTAGTGTTAAGGGATTGAGATGGAATGATCTTTTTCAAGTTCATACTTTTTTGACCCTTAAGGGATTGAGATGGAATGATCTTTTTCAAGTTCATACTTTTTGAACCCTTGTAACTCCAGTCAGTTATACTTAAATTAAAAACTTCATACTTGAATATAATATGCTGTTGTGCTTAGTGATTCCAGAGACCCAAAGATCTTTTAGGACTGAGGTTGGGGGGAACAGAAATATTTCCCAAAATATTTTTGGTCTTTCTGTTGCACGTCTTAAAATATGATTAAGCAAAGATTGCAGCCGTGAAGATTTTCTGCTATAAATTGGTGTTTCAACCCTGGCAGCTGTTCATGCTTTCTGCGATCCCACTTATAAAAGTGGAAAGTGAAGGGTGAGTGGCTGCCCTCGTAGGCAACCACATAATTAAAAAAAAAAAAATGTGTATGCCTCAGCAGATCTATATTAGTATTTCATATAGCTGCCTTTTTCTTTTTTATTGTAGGGCCAGCTCTCAATGTTGCAAGAAAAAATAGACCATTTGGAGCGTTTGCTGGCTGAGAATAATGAGATCATCTCAAATATTAGAGACTCAGTCATCAATTTGAGTGAATCTGTGGAGGATGGTCCGAAAAGTTCACAAAGCAATTTCAGCCAAGGTGCTGGCTCACGTCTTCTGCCCTCACAATTATCCCTCTCAGTTGACACTGCAGACTGTCTGTTTGCTTCACAAAGTGGAAGTCACAATTCAGATGTGCAGGTAATGTATACATTCATTAATAATCACTGGGCTTTTTTTTTTGTTCTTTTTAAGATTTGACGTGAGTCTGTTCTGACTTGGTAAGTTGCTTAAACTCTTTGGATTATAGTTTCTCTTTTTGTAAAGTACTTTGATTAGTCACATGAACATTAATGTTCTGTTTAGTGATAAAATTCCATAATTCTGTTGTTCTCAGTTTATCTTACTATTTTATACTTATGTGAATACAGTCTTTTTGTATGCTTTTCAGTCTTATTTTCTGTAACGGTTGAAAACCTTTAGAGGTTTAAATTTTGCCAGAGATTTTTTTATTTAACCTTCCATTGGAGAATACAAGAAAAGCCCTGTTCTTGTCATATATCAGTTGTATATTATAGATTTTGTACAAAGTAAGATTAGACTTTTTTTTTTTTTTTTTTTTTGCTTAATATCCTTTTGCAAGAGGGAAGGGAATTATTCTAGAGCTGTACTTTTCCGTATGGAAGCCCCCATCCACATGTGGCTACTGAGCACTTGAAATGTGACTAATGTGGCTTGAGATGTGCTGTAAGTGTAATATACACACACAGTGTTTCAGACTTAGTGTGCAAAATATCTTAATTCATTTATATATTGATTATATGTTAAGATAATATTTTGGATATACTGGGTTAATGAAATATTAAAATTAATTTCAACTGCTTTGTTTTACTAGACAATTAAAAATTTGGCTTGTATAATATTTCTCTTGGACAGCGCTATTATAGAGGGCAATGGAGTAAAAAACCCAGCGTCAGAAAGGCCTTCTGCCTTTCTTAAACTCAAAGTGTTTCACTTACACTGGCTTTGCAAATTAGATCAAGGCTGTGTTTAACCTTGTGCCTTATACCAGAAACTGGATTTTGGTGGAAGAATCCTAAGGGGTGAATATTTTAAAGTTTGACAAAATTATTTGGCTTCTGGCCTTGTTTTCGAATATACACTTTCCACTAACTGCTGAGGGACAGAGAACATGATATGATCTTGAGGTCATGGCTCACAGGCCAAGCTGGAAGCTGGGGACAGTGGAGCTGGCCAGGTCTTGCACCTGCAACCTCATCAGCTAGAATGTAGCCAGATTCTGATAGGATCAGAATCCTGTGCTTACAGGGATGGCTGTTTCTGTGAGGTTTGACTTTATTCAGTTTTCTGTTGAGTGCTTCTTAAGTACCTAGCTAGCCTTGTTGTCATCCATGATAAGGAACAGCAAAAAAAAAAAAAAAAAAAAAAAAAATTTATATATATATATATTTGTTGTGTGGTCTGAATCTGGGCCAGACAGAAAGGAGTTGCAGAGCAACCATGGAAGTCAGGCAGAGCAAGTCAGGAGGGTACTGGGAGAGCTGCAGGACTGAAGGAAGAAACAGAGACTGCTAAGACATCCTCCTACCCAGTTCATTTCCAAAGATTTGTCGGCTCATCCTTGAGAAGATTTTATTTTATTTATTAAAGTCATATATTCCATAGGGAGAGAAATATTATTGCCTTAAAATACTTTGTATTGACTTTTATGTAATTTGTTTGCCCTTTAAATTTTTTTTGTAACTCATTTATATATTCGGATGTGAGTTTTGTAATCTAGTTTTAACATAATTTAAATTTTACAAAAGGTTGTTTGGTTGTGTTGTCACATTTAATATTATAGAGACTGTGAAGAACAAAAGTAAAGTTTTAGATTTTTTTCCCCACTGTTTTTTCCTTTGCATCCAAACATTATTAGCCAGCAGGAATACTGCATTGAAAAGCTAGAAAACATTAGGATACATAAAAACTAAATCTCAATTTAAAAAATTTTCTCAATTTTTATATGATTATGCCTAGTTGACCCTGTTGTAGTTTTACTTCTAGGATAAAATAGGTAGATAGAACATATGCTACATGGAAGAGTAGCTATAGATAGATTATTTTTGTTCAGGTATAGATTTTTAACATACATGAGATTTACTATAAAATAAAGACAGCTTAAAGTAAAATATCATTTTCAGTACTATTTTTGAAAATACTGAAATATCTGGTCATTATCAAATTTCATCAGAAATTTTTTTCTTGGTTCTTTTTCTATAAATTTCTATTAAATTGTTTTGGAAATAAAGTAGGGGAAGAAGGAATAGAATGAACTTATTTTTTATGAGAAGCAGATGGGAGGGGATTATTTATCAGGGTAGTTTTGTAGCACAAATAGCATTTCAAGCCTTTAAATGGTGATGAAATATTTTCTACTCTAAACTCCTCAATTAATGTCTACCGAAATAGTTTTATTTTATAAAATATATATGCAGAGTATAGCAGTGAATAATTTTGAGCAAATATTTACCAACATTAAATTTAAATTAATAATGGTTAAACTTTAATTTTTTTTCTTTTACATTTTTAGATGTTGGATGTTTACAGTCTAATTTCTTTTGACAATCCAGATGGTGGAGTTTGGAAGCAAGGATTTGACATTACTTATGAATCTAATGAATGGGACACTGAACCCCTTCAAGTCTTTGTGGTGCCTCATTCCCATAACGACCCAGGTAAAATTTGCACCTCAAAAAAACCAGGAGGTTATTAAGTTCCTTTAGGCCTAGAGTCTTTCAATGAGAGTCTGGTAGAGGCCACTTCTCAAATTTTTGAGACATTATTCTCTGACTTTTAACATTAATGTATTCCTTTTATGTGTCATTATGTTTTAGTGTCCTCATTTTATCAATTTATGTGCCATTCAAGGATAGTATCTGTGCAGTATGAAATGGTAATAAACAAAAAAGAAGGGCTTGCCTTTGGAAGAAAAACGGTATATACTTTTAAGAGACTGATTGTTGATTTTAGTAACTTTTTGTAAAATATTGCATGGGAGAATTATTTCATGTCTATGAAGTCTACCTTTAAAAGAGGCAGAATACTCATGGGAAAGTTTGAATCTTTAAAATAGAGAAGCAGTATTAAATGGTTTAAGAACCTTGGTGTTGATTGGTTTCAGGCACATACGAATGTGAGTCTCAGCTCTCTGTATTTATCAGTGTTAGGCAACTTTAGGCAAGTTACTTTATCCCTCTGAAACCAAATTTTTTCCCTGGTAAAATGAGGATAATAGTATCTGTTTCAGTAGGGTGAAAAGTAAAAGAATCATGTATGGCACAACAGTAGCTGCTGTCATTATTGTTACTACATATGATGGTGTTTATTTACAGGGGCCATAGATTTCCCTCCCTCCCGCTCCCCCCTCACCCGCCAAGATTAGGGGAAATTGTTTCGATTGTAATGGAACATAGGATTTGATATACGTCTTTGTTGGTTTGAGTACACAGGCACAGATAATTTAGTTGCCGCGTTTTTTTTTTTTGTGGAGGTTGGGTGGGGGGTGTATTTCTAAAGACTTATTTTGAAGGAGTGTGTTACTTTTCTTAATATCTTGATTTCATGATTACTGTCAGAAGCACTAGTAACCTAATAATTTGAAGGTTTTTTTCTTTGCTTCCAACATTCATTTATCTTCTACTTACATTTTTTTCCCCATTAGTTTATTGGCAGATATTCCTATTTTTCTATTTCTAAGACAATAAAACATGTTACTTTAGGTCTGGACACATGATTTAGTGAAGCATTTTTTTTGTGTGTGTGTGCTGCTTTTGGGTGTGAGATGTCTGTGAGCTTAGATATTGAAATGCTTGGATTTCTAGACTACTTCAATATTTAGTATGCACTGACATGTAAAGTGTATGAAATCAATATTCTGGAAATTTATGATGAGCAATTACTGCACATCAGCTTCTGACTTGATTTCCCTATCTTTGATCTTAATGTCTTTATCTTTTCCTACAAATACCTGTTGGTGTTATGTTTTCCTCATATATATTTTAGATTGTCTTTCTCCTTAATCTTAGCCTGTACCTTTTAAATCCAAACTCAGGGAAGGCTGGGCATCATGGAAAGACTTCAGGGATTTGGAGCCAGGCAGAATGAGGCTGGTATCTTGGCTCTGCTGTGTATTGCCTGTGTGTCCTTGGGCACATTGGTTTGTGTATCTGTAAAATGGAGATCATACAGGTGGAGTAGCATCTTAAGCCAGGGTTAGTTATAAAGTAATTATAAAAGGTGATGAAAATTACATCTAATCCAGATTTCTTTGCTATTTATTCACTTGAGTACAGATTAGTTAGTACATTTGCATTTAGGGGATGCATATGAAAAACACATATCTTTGATTACTTGACTTACACTCAGTGAGGTGAGGTGCTCACACTTAATGTAGGATCTAGACAGCTTACGGCACTGCAGATTTTTTTTGTCTATAAATCTCATAATCACTGTTGAATATTCAATTATTGAGTGAAATGGTGAAAGAGCCACTTGTAATATCTAAATTGTTCTCTCTTCGCTTTCTGCCAATCACATTTAGTTTAATTCTTGTTACTTAATTGGGAGAGTGATGTGATTCCATAGTATAATCTTCCTTGTAGGCTTAAAAATATACTTCTAAGTATGTCTTGTGAGTCTTCCTCATATGACGCCCACTTCTTCCTTTTTCTTGATTTTTTTAAAAGACCTTTATTCTGTCCCTTTTTCTGCCATTTTTAATTCTCACCAATCTCATTTCTTGTTATTCCATACATGGGCTTTTAACTATAATAATAAAATCTATGGTTTACCAGGCAGAGTGCCAGATGTTTTACAAACATTTAGTGCATACCCATGAAGGTTAGTGCCATGATTCACGATGAAGGTGTTACCAGGTTACACAGCTAACAAGGGGCACCAGAATACTTTCCTGACAGTTTACCTGGATCTCCCACTAAAGTAAATTCTAGTGGCAAAGAACATATGCTTCCTATTAAACACACACTCCTCGTGGCCTAGCAGAACACTTGGCATATAGAATAATTGCCAAAAAGATAAGGCCTCTTTGACCTTCCTCGAAGCCCCTCCGCCACATACTCATACTACACACACACACCTCCGCACTTGCAGGTCTTCGCAGATGTAAACATTTACAGCACTTTTACTTGGTCTCCTCACTAGAATGTTAGCTCATTAAGGGCCAGAACTTTGTTTTATTCACTGCTGTGTTGGGAATGCCTAGAATCATAACTGGCACATAGTACTGAGTCATTAAGAGTTTGACTAAATAAGTTAATGAGCTAATGAATCTGACTCTTCAAACTAGGATGAAACATTTGACTTATTCCTTGGCCTAGGCTTTTCTTTTTAAGTTCCCTCCTTCCTGATGGCTACTTATTTCTACTCTAAAACAAACAAACAAAAAACTTATTTAAATTACTCTTTTGTAATTTTGTATACTAGAAACAGGCCGTAATAAGCTCTTTGAGGGCAGGATGGCTCTTGATTTTTAGACTTTTTTTTTGTTGTTTGCATTACTATTCCTGCTTAGTTAGTAGGTCATCTCCTGAGTAGACATTCCTAATAAGTATTCCTGACTGTAATCTCTTTCGGTATCCTAGTTATTGCTGAATCTTTTTGTCTTAGTAAAAGATGTTAATGACCCTGACACTCACACCCTTCTCCACTTGGAAAAAATAATTGTCAGAAACAAACCTTTTAAAACTACAGTGATTTTTGCTGTCAAGCAAAATGCTAGAGAGAAGAATCCACTGACTTAATAATTTTCACTATTCCTTAACAAAAGTAAAATATTGGCAAACTAAATTATTCTGTGAAAACCTGAATTATTCACATCATGAAAAACCATTCTTTTTAATAGAGGAAAAAGAGAAAGATGTGTTCATATACGCTCCAAGTCAAAATGTGACTCTGTAATGGGAAATCTTTGTATAATACTCCTAAATGAATGTGAAGTTAGGCAGTGTTCTTTCTAAATGAGATTTATAGAGAGATTTGTTTACATTTTCTGCAGCAACAATTTAAAACGAGCTTTAGCTTAGTAGTTTGTTTCATTGGTGGATTTTTGTCTATTGGGGATAGAAATATTTGAAATAGATTTTTAAAAAATTGTTGTATTTAGTTCCCCAACTTTGTGAATTTATGTTGCTGTGTTTTTCTGTATATAGATATCTTTCTTTTTGGACTGAGTTGGTAATATCTCTCAAGAAAAGGTAAATTTCACAATATGTTGGTATCTTAATAAAATTCCAAATTATGTTACAGTCTGAAAACATGTAACAATTGTCATAAAATATTTAAGTGTTTTACGTGAGTACAGACTGAATTGGAAAAGAATTGTGAAGTAAATGCTGATAACTTTGTACTGTTATGCTTTTGAAAGTTTTGAATCGTAGACCATGAAATTAAATGTTAGTTGATTGATACATGTTCATGTTGTATTTAATAAGCTGATTAAAACACAATTACAGCACTTTTGTATCTACAATCTTAATTCTTTGCTTCCCACTAGTTAAACTGCTGAACTATTTGGTTAATTTTACTTCAAAGAAATCACAGTGTGTGAAGAGAAGATAAGGTATACTAAATGGAAGGTTGGACAGCATATTGTTAGTTAAGCAATTTGTGAAATGAACATTAGAAAATAATCCCCCTTGTGGTATGACTCTAAAATAGTAGGAAGACCTAGGCCCAAGAGTTACACTGGAAAATAATTTTCTTTTGTGCATTTACAATTCTTTTGCAGAAATTTTTATTGACTCAGAGGGTGATTAGGACTTTTCAGCTTTTTTTGTGTATAAAATTAGGAGACAGATGTTTGCATTTAGTATTATGATAATTATGTATCCTTTAAAAAAAGTTTGTAAAAAAAGAATAAAAACATGAGGAAATCAGTGTAATATTTTCAAATATTTCCAAGTATAGTTAGAATTTGAAAATAGTTCTGGTCAGCCATAGTTGGCTAATGTCTCTATCAGGGGTGCCCAATCTTTTGGCTTCCCTGGGCCACATTGGAATAAGAATTGTCTTGGGCCACACATAAAATACACTAACACTAACAATAGGTGATGAGCTAAAAAATAAAATCGCAAAAAAATTTAATAATATTTTAAGAAAGTTTACAAATTCATATTGAGGCTCATTCAAAGCCATCCTGGGCCACATGCAGCTCATGGGCCGCAGGTTGGACAAACTTGATGAAAGGTGGTGGAGACTTAGAAGTCTGGTTGCTAACGGAACTTTACTGATCAGAATGAGACGGTCATCAGAAGGAGAAGTTGTATGTGAACACTGTTTGGGGACTACTTTATTTGGTATAGCTACTGCAGGATAAAGTGGATTCTTTGGTTTTGACTGCCATAATGGGAAATTTTAGTTTCTGGAGCTAAAATAGTATGAGGAACAACTGAGATCTGGCATTTATTGCCTGTCCCACGTCAGGTGAGTGACAGCTCTTTGTTACTTTTTACTTTGTGTTATTCTTCAACCCTGAAAAGTGGTAAATTAAGCCACATTTAACAGGTGAGGGCAGTGAGGCTAAGTTAGGGTATAGTAATTTGTTCAAAGTCAGTTAATTTAATTATACATTCTCAGTGGTTGGTGAATTGAAGCTCAGGGTTGCCTGATTGTAAAATCTGTGTTTTTTCCATTTAAGTCTTTTTATTGCCTCTTAAGA